CGACCACTAGTCGAGCAAACAATCCTAGAACCTTCCTCAGACGCACAGTGACCCTGCTCCAATACTCAGCGGATCACAACAAACCGTTTTGTCTCATGAACGCGGCCAACTGTGCCACACATCCAAACCAAACGGGCCTGCATGTGGCACGGGCATGAATAGGGTGGCTCTCCCATTTGCTCTCGGGGGCATTCACTGCTCCTCAACTTCGGCTCATCCCGTATTGCCAGTTCGTCCCTTGAGGTAAGCCCTCTCCCCCTCTCTCTCCGTCCCTGACCGTGCACTCCTTCACCTTGCACTTGTGCCCTTCTATCGTACGAATTTAGCCCCTCGTATTGGCCAGGTGCGGGCGCAAGTCAGCTTTCGTTACTCAATCTTGGTTCAGACTGTATCACCAGCTTGGTCATGCTCGTAGAGGCTAGCGGGAGCCACTTCAATCAACAGGAAGAGCGACGAGCCGAGCAGCAGGTAAGCCTCTAACCTCGCGGCTGTCCCCATGCTACTTGCTTCGCCGGTTCGAATGAATCTTCCGTTGGAACGTGGGTAGGTACGACCCCAAATTTTGCCCCAGCCCGTTCCCCCGTCCGTAATACACCGCACAGCTTGTTCGTTCAGCCACCACCAGGTAGACCCCCGTTCTCCCTCTCTACCTTACTCGGAGATGAGCCCCGACTCACGGCTGGCTCCTCCCTATGGCTGCTGAAATCGGGAAGRSAAAATCGAGATGGACCTTCCGCTAGAGGTCGGCCAGGTGCGTGAACACTTCGCCGAACCACACCGTCCCCCCGCACAACACCTTCTTTAGCTAACACTTTTTCTACTAACTTTCTGCAAAATCTAACTACGAATTCGGGGTCGCCCGCCCTGAAAACCCCCAGTTACCMCCTCCCCTTCCCAATCTCACGGAGAAGCGCGCGGGAGCTTCACCCTCCTTCCCGACATTCTTCCATCCGCCACAACTCGCGCAGTCTACTTCCCTACTAACTCTTACCTTACTAACCTATTGCCAAAACCAAAGCTAACACTAAATTCGCCCGGTATAAAAACCTCTGTTCAGCACTATACTTCGCCCGATTTCATAGGGAGTCGGGCGAGATAACGAGCTTCTTCTCCTGGCATATCCACGCCCCTCGACACCACCGCGCACTAACTCTCGAACCAACTCTAATTCCTTACCTCTAACGGTAAATCTAACGCTACGAACATGCTCGCCCGCATCCAAAACCTCAAAATTGCATCTTCCCTCGCTCGATTCCGTCGAGGAACGAGCGAGCCATCTCTTCCTGACCGTGCCCAGTCCTACTCCCCGCCTGTGTCATCTCCATTTCCGCCTGCATGCACCCGGCGCGAAATCGCGCCCGGGTTCACCCGCCCCCTTCAGCACCTGCCCGCTTAGCCCGTCGCAGCTCCGGATGCCCCCAGCGCGACCAACCATCCCGGTTCAGTCGCCCTTTCTCCTTCCTACCTTCGTTGTCGTATCCGCCCCGCCGTAGCGCTCTGCCCGCGGCGTTCGTCTGATGGTGACGTCACCACCGGCCCCTCCTAGCCGCGCAGTCCGATAGTCTGCTAAATGCCAAAGAACCGTCCGGCCGACGGCCTCCTTCCGTTTATACGATCCGCCCCCGACGTCGGGGCCACGCTAGTCTCCTCCGTATCGTTCCAACCTTAACGGATGTCCCGAAGGACCGCGGTCGGGGCGATACCCCATGGCGACCCCAAAAGTCACTCAGCCTCCCCTACGTCTGGGCGATACCCCACGGCGACCCCAAAAGTCACTCGGCCTCTCCTCCGCCTTACTCAGATTTCCTCCCAAGGAGATCTGCCACGGTCAAAGCCCACTCGCCCCACTCTTTCCGCGTGAACCTTGCCCCTCCTTCGGGGCTTATGCATGAGAATCTTTGCATAGGGGCCAGGCAAATCTCCCCGGCTTGTTTCCCCTCGATCTCCCCTGTACCGCGTCAGCAAGTTAGCCAGTCCTGCACGACTTAACCCCTGCGGATCCCTGTTTTGCTTATACCCGGCCCGTTTCTCGGTCGGGTTCATTCCCGTTTATGGGTGTCCCCTGTTGCGCAAAGACCATGCTAGTCTTCTCTGTATCATCCCAATTTTAATGAACGCCCCGAAGGGCTTGGGGCTGGCTGGCGCCGCTTGGCCATCGCAACGGCTAATCGTCGAGCGGACCCAGCCGCAAAACGATCCGACCAACCCTCTGCCCCCTTTCCTTTGTGCGCAACCGGCGCAACCCACGTCCGGGTTCATTCCGAACCCACGCCGTTACCGAGCAAAACCCTCCCCCACATCATCCCAGATCTACCGAATCCCCAGAGGAGCTTCGCTACCCCAGCGCCTCACGACCCCTCTGCGACTTAAGTAGCCTTCGTGCTACCCATCCCCTCGACTGCTAAGTACGGATCTGGCCCCCTTTCGCGGCCGGATTCGAGCGGTTACGCCTCCTTCCCATACGACCGCGATGAGTAATAGTCCAAAAGCTCGGCACAAATAAGTTTATACCTAGGCGGGTGCACACGACCCCGCAAGGTGCGCAGCACTCGGGCAGGGGCCTCGACCCTTATAACAATGAGAAAAAAGGCGAAGGGGATAGTCCTATCGGCCCATCAACCCCTCAAGCCTTACCGCCACGCTCCTCCGCTCCTTCTGCATGTTGTTGGCCTCGATCCCTACGTCCACTGTGTACCAATCCAATACTGTAACCAATAGGGCTAAGCCCAAGTCTGAGACCAGCAGGCGCGGCTTCACATACAAGGTGGTACTACACGGCGCTCCGGGCCAGGATACCGCTCCGGCCACTCTTTCGACCCACATTCGTACCCTCGCCCCCTAAGCGTCCACGTCGGGCCACCGCCTCGCGCCGTGGCCGTCCCATGTGCCTACCCGCACGCGCGCTGACCAAAAAAACAAACCTTCACCCCCTAATCAATCTCGTGGCTTTAGTATGGGTCGGCCGGCTACCCCGACCGCCCACTCAATCAGAAAAATCACACACGCGCCTTAAAATTGTGCGTCCACGTACCCCCTACCGGGACAAGGCAGACCCTTGCCTATGTGCGGGCGACCCTCACATTTTCCCGCACGGGCACTCAAGATTCAGGTTAACCAAGCCTTTCTGTCACTTGCAAAAAACAGGGCGGATACCCTTGTAAGGGTATTCGCGCCGACAGCTTACCGGACCATATTAAGCGACGTCCCCGTCGCGTCGCCAGATCAAAAAGCTATAGACTCCCTTTCATTCCAAATGCTGACGAGATCAGAACCAATCCGATTAGCCGACAAACTCAGGGTCGAGGCCTCCATCAAACCGTGCCAACACACCTATATGCTGCCAGGGTTTCAACCTGGGTCTCCATTGCCCCGACACCAGGACGCCGGTGTATTACGCATCAATACTACAGCATAAGTTCCAAAGGCCCCCAAACCATCCTCTTCCCCCTCGTCCTGGACAGTCGCCGGCCTCTCGTTGGGTGTCCCAGTTAGCCTCTTCCTCATAAGCAGAGCCATAACTAGGGACGTGGGCTTCGAATGGGGCCTATGAAGGCATTCTCTGCCTTCTTCAACAAATTCCTCACAGTCAAACAAAGTACACAAGTATAAGCTTGTAGCCTCTCTCGGGCTTTTCTGCAGTCTAGTACAGAAATGTCAGGTCCCCATCCGGGCCCACCCTAGCCTGGCTGATCGGGCCAGGTTTACGGCCCACCACGTTGTTACCTTAGCGGCAGTATCCTCCCATTGGTTATACAATGGCAGGTATGTCCCTGATAATCAATCGATCAGGGCTTCCAAAAGACTCGACTCTTATCCCGCAAGGTAATTTCCTTGGAGCGGGCAACTCCCCTTAAACTATTGCCTTGCGGGCCCGCAGCCCGGTTGTGCCGGCTAGCAGCCATCCACTAGGGGTTGCGCCCAGGTGGCACTAATCTTTACCGTTAGCCTGGTATTCCCTCAAATATGTCTCAGAATTAGCACAGGTGGCCCGACGGGGTATCACAAACAATTCACGGCCGCCGCGGGACTACGCACGGGTCTGAAGGCATTTACTGACCCTCCTATAATAGGCACAACATCCTTCGCTCAATCACAAACAGTCTCCCCGCCGGATCCACAAGGCCGCGGCTCCTGACTTGATCAGAGCCAGCAGTCGCCCACCCTGAGAGATCTCTCGCCCTTTTCAAACATTTCAAGCAAACATGGTCCCCTCTCGTCAGACTTTATCAGCACAGACAATGTTTTCCACACCATTCAATTTTTACCCACCCTTACTTAGTGAAGGGTGCCTTTCACAAAAGATTTCCTAGCCATCTCCTTCTTGTATGGGATGCCTCCTCACACGACCTCTTCCAAAACCATGAAGGGGTCTCTACGCAATGTAATTCCCACCTTCCAGAACCATGAAGGGGGTCTTAGTCATCAAACACCTCAAACTGAGGAGCCACCTTCTGGGTCCCTATACGATTTAGGCAACGATGTTTAGTATGACCAAACATGCAAATTCCTAAATCCATCAATCCCGTACGATTCTCACAGTTTTCACAAACAGGCTGCACTTCCCCTCCTTATACTCTGCCCTCTCGTCCGCTTGCAGCAGACCGCACGAGTATACTGGAGGGTAGACAACTTTACAATTTACACAATCATGCCCATGAGATGTATCCTGTACATTTCTCACACAAAGCCAAACATTCATCGAGATAAATCCACACATGTGAGAGCAATAGTGATCGTCACAAGACAAGTCCCATAGGATCTCAACTCATAGTATACTCAGGGAGTAGAATGCCTCCCCCAACAATCGAATACAAGCACTCAACTCAATACCCCGCCTGTCTGAATAGGACTCATAATCCCACTGTACACTCATCAAATACACTCGGGAACATAACATCCGCCTAATCATCCACAGAATATCTAGCCCCTGTCCTCCCCTGCTGGGAAAACTCACACCCCGAGTGCTATAAACTCCCAAATCCCATTCAGAGCAGCAATAGCTTGTGAATCACAAAGCCAAATGTAACTAAATGGTCTGATATATCATACAACTGAGTTCTACCCCTGGGTCGTAGCCCACGAAGAAGCTCAAGAAGGAACAAGCGAACAAAAGTCACACGCATATGTACAATTGGATAGAAACTCCTCCCACCACTCCTACGCACACACACATCTAGGGCCCGCTCAACTGACTCAAGGTATGTACACCCCTAACCCCGCCCTGTGTGTGTCAAGGATCTCTAATCCTATCAATATATAGACAAATCGATCCCTACTTACATAATTCCTCCTGGTTCTGCCTATATAACTGAGCCCTGCCCCCATCTGGAGCTCGCTCTACTATCCTCCCCTGCCTGTCATAGAACTTGCCGTCGAACTCCGCAACTCGCCCCTCGGCCTTATTTTCGAGGAGTTCTGGGTAGTCCACGGCTCTATGCCCTTCCTCCTTGCACCAGAAACAGCAGGCATCGTGCCATCTGGCAGTCTTCTTCTTTCTCCCCTGCGAACTCGATGCCGAAGGCATCCCCATGGTCTCAGTAGTCACCTCATGACACGAGGGCAACCCCACATGGCCCTGAGGTCCATGCTCCATAGCCTGAGCACCCCCACCCTCTCGTATGGCCGTGCTCACTGGCCTGCAGCCCGGCGTGCCCAACTCGCGGGGTCCCTCCTCATGAGCCCTCTCTGTCATCACCGCCTCATCTCTGCATACCCCTGACGGCTGAGGGTCCCCCATAACGGTGGGCTCACTCATGACCTCCTGCTGCTGTTGTCGCTGCGAGTCAGGCTTCCCGGAGTCCTTCTCCGTGGACCAGAAACCTAACTCTGTCCTCAACTTTCCCAATCTCGGAGCATCCTCTGGAGTGTCGAGCCTCTGAGGCCTCTCCTGTGGAGTGCCTATCCCCGTGGCTGCCACCAGCTCATGCAAGCGCGAACCTATCCTCTCCGTGGACATAGCCATAAGCGACTCCTGCGCACCACCTTCCTCCTCAACTGCGTCCAAGGGCACCTCCTCCATCGGCTCACTCTGTCGGGGGACCTCCACTGCTGCTCCTTGGCTCGGCGAGGCGCACATCCCCCGGCCCTGGCCATCGGCACCGGCTCGCCCCACCTGGCTAGCCTCCCAGGCTGCTGAGAGCCTATCCACAACAACCGCCATCTCCCCAAATCTCCTCTCCCACTCAACCTCTCTAGCCTGGCTTCTCGCCCTCTCCTCGGCAAGCTGAGTAGTCAGGTGCTCCACCTCCAACTCTTTGACTCGGAGCTCATTGCTGAGTAGATTATACCACTGGAAAGACGTGACTGTCGTCTCGCATACCCTCCGATCCATGCTCTCAATCGCCTGCCTGGTCGCGGAGAACCCCAAGTCCCCCATCTCTCTCAGCTCACTCGTCTCCTCGTCCGCCCGTCCTGCCTCTCGTGACCTCTGGCGGGCTGCATCCCTCTGGCTCTCATACCTAGCCCGCAACTCGTGGATCCTCTGCTCACTCGTCTTGGGCTCGACCGACGGTGTCGGCTCTATCCCTGCCACCTCCATCTCAGCCTGTCTTGCGTATATCTCATCCAGACGGACCCGCACTCGGGCGGACTTCTCTTCGCGGGTCTCTCTTGGGGTTCCTTCCACTCGCGGCCCCTGGTCTCCTGGAGTCGACGCCTCCGTCTCCATCCCTTCGCTCGCGCGCGACACTACTGGCGGTAACTCTGCTGAAATGGGTTCCTCGATATCCGGGCTCTTGGTCACCTGCGTGGCCAAGGGCAAGTCAAGGGGCGCCTCTATCCTCGCTCTCTCACCCACACCCTGGTCCTCCGCCTCTGCCTCCTGCTCAGGTATAGTGGTGGCCTCAGGGGGAAACTCCGGAATCTTTTCACTGCCTGGATCGGGAATCCCCTCTAACCATGAACGCTGTGCTGGCTCTGGAGCTGGAGAGCATGGGGGGGTATCGTCCCCAACCGTGATCACCTCTCTACCCTGAGGTCGTACCGGATCCGGCCGCTCGGCTACCATCTCAGGATCCTGCGGCTCCTCTCGGTCTCGCATGTCTGTCTCCATCTCGGGGTCGAGGGGCTCCTCCAATGGTACATAGCACGCCGGCTCAACTGAGCCCTCTCCCAGCCGTGAGGCCTCCTATTGGGATACATTGAGATGAGTTGCTAAGCTTCAGAATGGCGTCTCTCTTGGTATGTCTAGCTCCTGCGTTGATGGCAATGGCGAGGGCGGCCTCAACTCCTCGCTCGTAATCCGCCGAAACTCAATCGCCCGGAGGCCACAAGCAGGGAACGATTCCTCTGCCAATGCGGGCCCTGCGGGCTCATCCTCCCACTGGGCTGGGGCTCCCCTCCCCTCTCTGGCCAGCCCCGCTCTCTCGGTGCCGGTTCCCTTGGCCTGTTGTTTCCCCGCCGCCTCTTAGCTCTGGGCTCGTGCCTCTCGTGCTGTGGCCGTCCGAACGCCCTCCTGAGCTAGGCCTTACAGTCCTCCCAGTCTTGAGCCCTTTCTCGAATCTACGTGACCGCCTGCTTCTCCGCCTGCCTCATCCAGATAAGTAGGGCCTGCACCCATTCCCCCTGCGCAACCCCCATACTCAACGTGTAGTGCTCATATGCGGGGATGAACTCATCTGCGTTTCCCCCCTCCAATCGAATGGGCATGCCATCCCGCCCCCTAGGGGAAGCTCTCAACCTCTGCATCCCTGCCTCCACGTCTGGCCAAGTCAGGGCCTCCTCACATATCTGAGTGACAGGCTCCTCAAACCGCCCTATATAAGTGGTGAATCCTCTCTGCCACTGACCACCCTCTCTGTGCCGCATGGTTCCGATAAACGTCCAAGAAGAGCTCAATGTTATCGTCATCGAACTCGGGCGTAGGCTCCCTCCTAGGCGGCTCATGCTGCTCGCCTCTTCCCTCCATCCTCTGGGGCCCCTGGCGTGGCCGTGTGTCCCTCCCTCCCCTCTGCATGAATGCCTTCGAAAAGTCAGACCTGCACAACAGGCGAGAGACAACAAGCAGGCACACAGCAGGGTCAGCAACCGAGTCATTGGTCTAGGAAAATCCCACACACACTCCACACCCATCCATCCCAATCATCCACCTATCTAGCCATCCGACCTGGGTAATACCTAGGCAAGACTCTATCCCTAACGAGGTCTCATGACCCTTACCTATTCCCTGGCCACAAACTTCTTCAGCCTTGTCCCTGATACCCCGTCCTGCCACCCTGCACCATCCAGCTCTTCGATTTGGTAGGCCCCAAACTCGCCACACCGCACGATCCTATAGGGTCCCAGCCACCGCTTGTCGTGCTTCCTAGACCATTGTTTTTCCAGCGAGGAGTCATACAGCAGCACCACATCTCCGACCTTCAGCGGATCTTTCCTTATTCGGGCCATCTGGTCCCACCTCATCTTGTCTTCCATGCGACTTCTCTCCACCTGACCAGCGGCCTCTTGTAACCTTTCCTCAGCGACCCCCACCTGCCGCGCCCGTATATCGAGCAGTTCTTCAAAGGACAGGTTCACTTCCAGGTCCTAATGCCTCCACGTTTTCATAAAGCTTTCTATGGGAAAGGTGGCATGTCTTCCATACCATAGTGTGGTTGGTGCATACTTGGTAGTCCTTTTCACTGTAACATTTTCCACGAAGAATGCTGCTCTCAGGAATTTCAGCCACTGGTTAGGCTTTCCCTCAATCCATTTGGCCAGGAGATTTGTGATGGTACTATGCCCCCTTTCCACAGGCGCGTTTGCCTGAGGGTGCGCGGCAGTAGTGCAGTTTGCCACCACGCCGTATCCCGCAAGCAAGGTCCGCACCTCGTTACACGTAAACTCCGACCCCCGGTCCATCACAAACTCTCTGATAAATGGATAGCGCAAGTAGTACTCTTCGATGCACCTTGCTAAAACAGGGCCTGTTTTCGTATGAATAGCCCGACCGTCCACGAATCCGTTAAGGTTATCCCGTGCGTCGAAGATATAGTTACTTCCGTCCTCCCCAAGTGGCATGAACAATAGGTCCAGGTGTACGACTGCACCCACTTCCCTCTCTAGTCTGGGGTGCAGAGGCTCCCCCGGCCTTTGCGATGACCTTTGTTGGCAGGGCACACAGGACTGGCAGTACTTGATGATCATAGTCAGCATTCCATCCCAATGGTATAGCTCACTTTTCTTTGCGCACGTGGCACTAACCTTTTTGTGCCCCCCTGCTATACCATCGTGTAAGGCTGCTATGACATCGATCTGTCGGTTCCTCCCACATACGATCCTCTTGGGGTTCCCAACCTGTCGCTTTATAAACAAATGGTCATCTCTCACTACGTAGAGATGCCTCATCTTTTGGGCCTTAGCACTTGCGTCCCTATCCCTCATTTCGCACGACAGGAGTAACCCCAATTCCCAATAGATCCCATCATACTCCTCAACACGGAAGGATTCCCTGATCTCTCCCTCTTCGAACTCGTCGTCCTGACTCTCAGGAATAAGAAGCTCGCCCTCCTCTGAACTCGCGGCGCTCCTCTGGCTAAAGTTCCCCTGCAGGAACGTGTTGGTGAGCAAGTACATTTTTCCCATCAGTTGTTCATGTTCCTCTATCTGGGTCGGGCCTTCCTCTATCGTCCTTACCTCCTCTGCTAGACTATGTGTCCCTGCCAATGCCAACCTTATCATCCAGCCAACATCCTTACTCCCCCACGGATCTTCTTCCTGGAAGGGCTTGAGGACCAACTCCTCCTTCTCCTCGTACCCCCTTGGTGCTAGCCATATAGGATGCGCGACGCAGCTGGGCACCCTCAGCGACCATTCATTTATGTGGAGGCGGGCATCCTCCTCCTGGTCCAAGAACCCATCAACTGGTGGGGTATCCTCAATTGATTCTTGATTCGCCCCGTCCCAGTTGATACGGCTCAATCCATCTGCCGTGTTCTTGTCCCCGAGAATCCTCTCCAACTCAAAGTTAAACATCCAAATGTAAGTCAACCACCTCGCGATGGTTGGGTCAGATGGAGTGTAACTTTTCAGGGAACACGCTAGCGCGGTAGGATCCACCCTCAAAATGAGCCGCCTGCCAAAGATATAGTTCCGGAAGGTCCTTAGGCAATGGAGTACCGCCAACGTCTCTTTCTTAAACTGGGAGTAATTCCTTTCAGTCGTATTGAGGGTGCGCCTTTCAAACCTCAGCGGCCTCTCTTTCCCATTAGCATCCGCCTGAATCAGGACTCCTCCTAAGGCAGTTGGCCCAGCGTCCGTCTCGACAACGAATGGCTTCTCCTCCGTGACCTCGTAGTTCGGCGCTCCCAGCACCAAGCCTCCTTCCCTAAACTCTCCCTTCATCCTTTCCACAGCCTTCTCCTGGTCCTCGCTACAGACCCATTCCTGATCTGACGCACTAGCTTTCTTAAATGCTCTGTCTTGGTGGCGAAATCCTTCACAAAACTCGTTTAAAACCCACAGGTCCCAAGGAAGCTCCTCACGTCCGTTATCGACTGGAAGGGGACTGGCCACTCCAGGATCTTATCCGTCTTCTTCACATCTGGCCTCCGCCCTTTCTCGTTGCAGACAAAGCCCAGAATCGTGGCCTCCCTCATGCAATGCTTCGATTTGGGGCCGCCCGCCGTCAGGTTGTGTTCTTCCAGCAGACCCAGAACCTGATCGATATCCTGGACGTGCTTCCAGACGAACCGCCTTACTCCTGGGATCACTTCGTCTTCCTCCTTCTCCTTTGGACCCTTGACCGCCAAATCGTCAATGTAGGGCTGAGTGATATGTGGACTAACCGTCTGCATGGCCCTAATCATGTGCCTTTGCACCATCGCCACCGCATTAGTCCACCCCTGAGGTGCCACGTTCATGTGTATCAGCCCCCTTGGCGTATGCATCGCCGTCACCGGCCTATCCGGTGGGTACACAGGAAACTGGTCATACCCAGAGTAAAGGTTTATAAGTGAGATTATAGGCCTTCCTGCGCATGATTCTGACAGGGCGTCTGCGTTCGGCAACCCTCCCGCGTCCCGCACCGTCACTGCATTCAGTCGTTGTAGATCCTGCACCCACCGCAGCGTACCTTTCGGCTTGATAAAACAGAACCAAGGGGAAACATACGGTCCACTAGAGTAATCTGCCACATACGTCCTCATCTTCCCATCCAAGTAATCCACCACCTTCTTCTCCTCATCCGGATTCGGGTACCGCGCGCCCCTAAGGTTCCACGGCTCGTGTGAGACGGTATGGATTCGTATCATCGGGATCTTATCCACGTCCAACCTCCCACGCTCGTCATCATTAAACGCATACGCGCAATGCCTCCTCCTCATGGTCTCCACCATCAAGGTCCTCTCCTAGGGCGATAGAAAGCCAGGCTCGCCAATTATCAACCCTTCCTCATTCTCATTATTGATGCGGCACGACCCTGCCTGCGCGGGTTCCCACATACGCCTTATCAACCCTCACTCTCGCTCATTGTAGGCTTCCTCATCCTCCGTGACAAGCACGGGGACCGAGCGGCACCTCTTGTCTATGGTCTTGTACCGCCTTTGGGAGCCCTGCTTAAGCCCTCCCCTAAAAAAGGCCGACTTGTTGTTTGGGCCTGGGCCATCGCAGGGTCCCTCTCCTCCCGGGAAGCCGATAGACCAGCTCCACTTCTCCCACCTGAGGGTCTTCCAGGACCTGCTCCCTCAATGCCTTTATGGCTTCCGGGTCCGCCATATCGTGCGCCGCCACCACCTCCATTGCCTTATTCACATCGTTAAGGCTCAGGGACAACACCTCGCCTGCTCCTTCCCCCTCTTGTTCCTCTCGGAGTCTCCGCCGCGCATACTCCGACTCCTCGAAGGTAAAGGAGCCGAGGTTGAGCCTATTCCTCGCACTTTCGGGCCCTGTGTTCCGACACTTGATGATCTCGTAGTTTCCGCAAGCCGGATCAGATAGAGCCAGAATCATCGTCCCCTCATGCCTGTTGAAGACCAAGGTCTCCGTCCGGCAGAGGAACGATCTTCCCAGAAGAATAGGGTGGTCGACGTCGGGCATGACGAAGAAGCACATCCGCGCCCTTACTCTCCCAATCTCCACCATCACATTAGACGGGGTGCCGCAAAAAATGGCCTTACAATTGGCGCCATGCAACACGCCATGGTCCGAATGGTCGACCTCCAACCCCAACATGGTCGCGTCCCGCTCCCGGATGATGTTCATCTCCGCACCCGTGTCCACCATTGCGATGCTCGGCTGGTCCCTCACCTTCAAGTCCACCAACCCACACGCCACACATTTCCAATCCATCCTGGTGCCTGCCTCTGTCCACTCTATCTCCCTAGGAAGAATTGAGCTCAGGTGGACATTGGGCACTAATCTTCACGAGAGCCGCCCTTTCAGCTCACCACGGAGCCTTGGTGCCGACGCCAAAATGTCCTTTAGATTCATCAAATCGTTATGGCCTTCCGGGAGCTTGTCCACCATTCGCTCCACATCAAAGCCTTCCTCCAGCTGGACCGCGTACTTTTTCCTCTTTGGCACGCCATCATGCAGACTCGGCTCCGCCCCTCCCTGAGCCCCTCTCTTCTTGGCCCTCTGTTCCGCCCTCCGGTCCTCCTCCTGCCGGAGCCTCTCGTCCTCTTCGTCATCGCCCTCATCTTCCTCTTTTTGAACCTCTACCACTTCCTTCCTTCGTTCGGGCTCAGGGTCCTTTCAAGGGGGCGCCTGACTGGGTGCCTGGCTAGGCCCTTGACTGGTGGTGGCCTTACTTTGACCCCTAGTCTGCGCGGCCTGAGGTACCCTTCCATGCGACGTAGGGGGTCTGAAGGTCATCCCTGACCTAGGACCTGCCCCGGCCGTCGCCACGCTTGGACATCCTTGTGGTCCTGACGACGACTCCGGACCGGACCCATAGAGCATCACCTCAGGAAGACTCATTTCCCATTCCCGGGCCTGTTCACACATTGCCCTTAGTCGTTCCTGATACCTGCTGACCTTTGCAAGCAGGCCCTCCATCCTCTCCAGGATGGTCGAGGCTGACTCTCTCACCACCTCCTGCGCCTCTTCGTCGGACTCCACAACTATGGGCTCCTCCTTTATAGTCCCTGCCTTCAATCGCTGAGTTACTTCCTCATTTTCATCCACAATTTCCTCGACTCTTACGCCGAGGTCTTGCCTTTCCTGCCATATCCTAAACATTGCTGGGGCTACTGGCGGCCCGGCCGCTGCCCGCCTGAGGGCTTCTTGCCTGATTCCTCCCGGGGTCTTGGGGTCAATGTGCGTTCCCCACCGATCGTATATATCCCCGTCCATACAGGTGGAGATTAATCCTGCCTTTTCGTCGTCCCGCCGTTGTTGGCAGAATCGTACAGTGTGGCCCACCTAGCCACAATGCCAACAAGTTGCATTCCTCCAGTCGAAGCGGGGTCTCCCGTACCCTTGGCCCCCTCCCTGGCTGCCTTGGCCACCTTGGTTCTAACCCCCTTGACCATTCCAGCCTCCTCCATGGCCTCCACCATTTCCTCCTCGCCCCCGGCCGCCCCCTCCTCTACCTCATTGGCCCCGGCCCCCATTACCCTGCCCGCCTTGTCCTTGGCCTCCTCCCCCGGCCACACTAGCTTGCGAGGCCTGCTGGGAGGGCGGCGGTTGAGCCACGGGCTGACTTTGAGCCGTCGGGTACCTCGGGGGGCCCATACTTGCGAATGGGCCTGAATAGGGGACCATGTGCCCCGCGTGGGCCTGACTCCCTTCACACGAGATGCAGTGGTTACAACTGGGCCAGGGCGTAGATTGGCAATGCGGCACCCAATGTCCATAAGATGGCGGCGGCCCCATGTGCCATGATCCGGCTGGCGCGGGCGCTGGGGCGGCCGCGGCGACAGGTGGTGGTGTGGCAGGGGCTTGGGGAGCCTGCCCTTTCCCTGATCCCTGTCCCCCCAGTAGCAGATTACGCTGCTTCCTCTGGGCCTTAGTCAGGGCTTGGGAGCCCGTCTCCCCTCCGCCGTAGTCTTCGCGCCCTTCCTCCTCATCTACTACTCCTGACGCCCGGCCTTGGGCCACTGCCACCACTCTTTTCTGTAGTTCTGCTTCGCTATCATACCCCAGTGCCGCCAACACGTCCGTGACTATTCTCTTCACCCCTGGGGTCCCGGATGCAGTAACATCCCTCTCCTTCCTCTTGCGCCTTTGCAGCCTCATTTGGTGCTGCTCCACCTGGTCCAGGCTCCCTTCTTCCACTCCCTTCTCAATGGTTGCCCAGGTGAGCCTCTCGCTTCCTTCCCCATACTTCGTCAGCTCTGTGGCCTCCGAGCCTATAAGCAGCCCCAAAAATGTGGCGCACTGCGCCTCCTCAGAAATCCCGTGCACTTTCCTCGCCCTTTTCTTGAACTCGTGCACAAACGCCCCAATGGTAGAGAAGTCTTCCTTGTTCATGGTCAGCAGGCCGTCCCCCAGGCTATACTTCCTTCGCATTAGGTCTCCAAACTTTGCCCAACTGCCACCGGTGGCGTCCACAACCTTAGTTACTTCCCGATGGTGACTGTGCAAGACATACCTCAGGACCCGCTGGAGCTTGACCTCATCTGACAGTCCCACCAACGCCTGCTCTGTCACATCCAACCAATCAGATACCCGATCCCCTTTGAAGTGAAATGTCTCGACCTTCGGGACATTACTTGGCGCCCTCTCGCGCTTCTCCAAGCCATTGATGAGGTCGTCGACAGTCAGAAGCTTTCTCCCACCGTCTGCCATCTCCTCTGGCATTTTGACCGATCACCTCYGGCTTCAAACTTCCTGTTATAAGAGACGATGGGACAGAGGACCCCACTCAGCGACTCAACCTTTCATGACCCTATCGGGTTGACCACCTTAGACACCCCACACTCTAGACCTGGCAGGCACTCCTTCTCCTACTTCCTTTGGGCTCACCTAGATAACACCTAACCTCCCCATAGGACTTCCCCACATACTTACTTCATTCCAGCTGTCAACCAAGCCGCCAATCAATCAATCATCCAACCTATAGTCACTTAGATCACCTTACATACATCTCATAGTCCTTCTCTTATTCACTCATATGCCTAGTTTCGCTTACTCTCATACCCGGATGTCGTTCCACCAGGGACAACGGTAGGCTTCCATTATCCCCGGCAACGGCGCCACCTGTCGGGCGCATCGGTCCGGCACCGCACGCGGCAGTGCGGGACCCTCTCGGCCGCGTCACGTAGGAGTTGGACCAAACTCGTCACAAACACACAAAAGGAGCTTCCTTAGGTCGCTCCGGCCGAGTGCGCCAGCCATACCTCTCGCGAGCCCCTACGACAGGATAGGGCCTACGCGAGGCACATCTTACCTCCACCTTACGGGACCTGTCACCTCCCTTCGGTGGGCGTATCCCCACCGAGCTACCAGTCCACAATACGAAAGCTACTCGGTTGCAATCGCAGAGGTGGACCAGCCGAGGGCGTTTCTTGTTCGCTGTAGCATAGGGGGTACGCGCGGTAATACGCCTATCGGACCCGCACGCGAACCGACACCTGGGGGGGCTGAAGTCCCAAGCGAGGCTYGACGYCGGTCGACTAGGACGCATCCCACACACCACGCGCACACCACTCTGCRAACACCAAAATAAAACACACAGACGCATACGCACGAAACGAYACCACACGGACAATGCGACACAAACAACGCGACAACGCTCCTAGCCCCTCAGTAGCCATCCCATAACTTTTCGATACGGAAATCAAATAGGCGCCACGCGCGAGACKTGATATAAAAATCGCGCGGAGGCAGGGCTAACTCATGTCGACTCGCAATGCAAGCGTACGCAAGCGGTCGCAGTGATGGCGTACTGTGTAGTACCCATACTCACGCGGTCCTCGTTAATCTCGAGGGTCACATTCGACACCCAAGTGTCGGTTGACACGCGCCTTAAGGGTTAATCTTTCGACGCTAGACAACCGCCATGCGCGGTTGAGGACCACACACCCTCTTCTGCACCCTTATGCAGAGTGGGTGGTACACAGGCCCATGCCTGTGGTGGTAGTCGTCTCTCGCGGCCCTAGGGGTGAGTCCTCCCCGGGGCCTGGGCGAAAGTCAAGGGGTTTGACTTTGACGGCTGCCACGGACTACAACATCCAACCATAAAAATCTCTAAGAAGCAACAAAACTCGCACGGGCCCAAGAAGGGGGGGGTAGGGCAAAGGTCTCCTGGCCCTTAAGACAAAAACTCATGGCCTTGGGACACACTTCCCTTCTATGGGCGGTGCCGGCGGCCTATAATACTCCCAAGCGCTGCACCTACGCGCGAGCCCGGCAGTCCCATAACTTTTAGACGCCGGGGCGGCGAGGCGTCGCGTGCAGGGCTTTGATATAAAAGTGCGCGGCCGCAGGCCACCCCTATGTCAACCACTGATACCAATCATATGTGGTAACTGCGGCTTAGGCCTCGCGATATTGAATGGCTAAAGGAACTCATCGCGAGGGGTTACTCCTCACGATATTGTTCGGCTGAAGGACACGCCGTTCGGCCCTTGCGACGTTCCCACCTTTCGGGTGGAATGTTCCGCCGGTCAAAGTAAATAGGCTCCATGCAAGGGGGGGTTCCTCCTCTTCAGGGCCTAGGGCTTGGGATGTCCTCGACAAGGACCTCGAATCCCGGTCCAGGGCCAACGTACGACTGGGAAAGCCCCAAGACGCAAATAGGCAGAAGGGAGGGTCTTCCCTGTCTCTCAATCCCAACTCCCACGCGGTTGTTAACATGACCTCTTAGGCCTCCCTAACACTCATTATACGTATATCCACGCATACATACGGGGGGGGGATAGAGTTATGACGATCACTTCTCACGGGCACAGTGGGACTCCTCACAACCATGTATATGAATTATGGAATCGCAGGCAGTCCAAATCCAAAATCCGAGCCACAGGACATACCTGCAACCACACCAAGAATCAAGCGACAAAACACGCACTACACGGAGTCAACCCCAACCATTCTCTATGCTCATACCCCTTCGCTTTAGTCATGCAAGCCCCAACTGCCAGTCCAACCAACCTCAATTAAATACTTAGTACCTTTGTTAAATGGCCATTCAATAAAAGTCCGGGTGAAACCCCTAACAAACAGTAAAAACCACCAGGACTAAAGCCTTTTAGGTTGAGTATGGGGAATGAGTTGAAATTGAGTCGAAGACCGACGAATCGGCAACCGACCTGTTATCAGTGATAACAGAAGATGATCCTCAAGGGATTAAGCTGAATCTAGTCCTGATCTTGAATCAGACACCCCAAAGGGCCTGTAACACAAGATAGGTTAAGTGCCCACGCTAAATCATCAGCATATAGCGAATACAACTCCATAACATATTCTCACTCAAATCCTCCTAGCTGGCTAAGCCTAAATCTACCTCGAGGCGGTGCCCAAAACAAATGCAGACTCTGGCTGGATCTCCCCTATTCAGGGTGGATTGCCAGAATCGCCACCTGTCAAAATATAATCTAACTCTTCTAAATCAAGAAAATTTCGGCAGCGCTTCCCGTAGAAAAAATGTATTTCCAAAGTTTGTATCAGCCCAAATATGAAAACAAAAATAATCTCCAACTTTGGAAAACTAAATTATATCTAACTCCCTGAATAGGTAGAAATTTGGACGGCACTCCCTTTAGAAAGAGAGGCTTCCCAGATTTATACTAGGTGAGTAATGAACTCACATGGCAACTTGAGTTCGACTTAGACAAGTTTTCACTAACTCCTTAGTTTTTGCATAAATTTCGGCAGCACTCCCTTTAGAAAAGTGTTATTCGAAAATTTACACAAGGCTAAGTTCAAAATCTGAAAATAACCCTGACTTCTCAAGGTCCAATTTTGTCTAACTCCCTGAATTAGTAGAAATTTGGGCAGCACTCCCTTTAGAAAAGAAGACTTTCCAAATTTTTACTAAGTCGGATATAAAGAATAGATAAGTTGAACTTTGACAAGTCAAAAGTTGACTAACTTCTTAGATTCGTAGAAATTTCGGCAGCGCTTCCCGTAGAGAAAGTAGCTTGCCAAGATTTATACAAAGTCGAGTATAACAAAAGATCCCAGAAAATGCAAGAATTGATCAAAGTAAAAAAAAGTTAGCTCAGCAAATGCAGGAATTGACCTAACTCCTATCGTTCTAGCACGTGGCGAGCCTTTAAAGCAACTACCTGTCAACCTGAAACCAAGACCAAGTGGTAATCTCACTCAGCCGCATGTAGGCCAAACCACAAAGGTAAGTACTATCACCATCCCCAAGTCAATCTTTTAAACAAACACTAGTTCATAATCTCTCAGTGAGTTATCCCCTCATACCTAGCTTACGTAAGGCATAGGTAAGGGCACCTGAACTTACAGAGCGCACCATACTTAGCCAGGCCTAAAGTCAGAATACCTAMRCTTATAGAGCGTTCTGACTCSGCCAAATATACACAAACAGAGGGCACAMCTACTTCTCTCTTCTTTGGGCATATGACTAGACCACTCTAGTCRCYCTGAACTGTTTAAATAGCCAAATYTTATATACCTCTCTTGAACTTAGTYTTCAAAGGGACATAAGGCTGAGCCGCTCGACTTAGAACACTGTTCAGCCTGCCCAAGTTTACCCTCAATTATATCTTTTTAGTTGTACTCTCTTCAGTTATGATAAGCTATAGTCAGGCTACCTAAACTTATAGAGCGGCCTGACTAGCCTGTTCGTAATGAAGTAATAATACAGTATARCCAGATTATACCATTGGGTTCCTGCATGTGCGAGGCATTGTACAAGACTACCTAAACTTATAGAGCGGTCCGATCCTCTGCCAGGTTYATTCCTTTCTGATYCAATCTGTGCGAGGCAGTGGGATAGGCTACCTAAACTTATAGAGCGGYRTGTCCCCTGCCAAAATTAATCCCTCAAAACAAAACAGGAGAAGGGYTGAACCACCTAAACTTATAGAGCGGTTCAGACCTCCTTGTTYAAAATCAAAGAAACTGAGGGAACCCCAAATAAAACGAGGCAACCCAAGGTAYSTAAACTTATAGAGCGTYTTGGGTCCCTGAAAGTCACCCACAGTCARACCCTTACAARTCAAAGCAGTCAGGACACCTAAACTTATAGAGCGTCSTGACCCTTCATGCAATTCACAACACCAAGTCTCCCCAAACTTATGGGGACATCCCAGCCCTCCAGAGCTTCAGGCTAYCTAAACTTATAGAGCGGCCTGAGGCTCCATGCAGTCCAAAAATAAACAAAGCGTTGGGCTTCCCCAAACTTAAGGGGACCTCCCAGCCTTAATGACCCAGTCAAGCTGCACACAATACTGCCTTCCTCCCAACCTTCCCCCAGATGCACCCATCTCATTCGCAGTCTGCTTTCAAGCAATCAACAGACTGAAACTGAGATTTGCCCACACATTCTTTTATTTCGGTCTGACTTATGTCCTAAATATCAAACTCAGAAACCAAGTACAGGATCCACACAATACTCCCAGTCAAACATAGAGAGATGTACAKGTAGGGGTTATAGTTGGGTTTATAAAAGGAGTCAGGGAATTACCACTYAGTTCCCTGCCTCCAGGACTCCGCYTGAGTCCCGGCAGAGCTCCCGCAATCGGTGGGGCCAACCTCCCACAGAGGCCTTGGCGCGGTTTACGGGCCACACGCCCGCCGACCGCCTTCCTCTMAGGGCCAAAGGACCAGACTTTAGAGTAAGAAGGGCAGGATAAGAGGGAGTAAGACTCTCAGACTCAGGAAGGACACACTCAACCTCGCGCGAGAGGGTCTTCAATCCTTCAACGCCTGAGGGCCCCTCAATGGCGGCCAAAACGCA